GGCGCGCCCATTTTTAGCGCTCGTTCTGTGACACTGCCCCCCACTTTAAGAATATTATCTCATAATATTCAAAACCACACAAACGAGCGCGAACAGTCACCACACACTCTGAAAGACTGTAACACAAACCGTCGCTCATGACACTTCACATTCGCAATAGATCGCTCAATACAATCATATATTGTAGTTCAATTCCACAACACATGAAATATAGCCACAGGTACATGACTACAACACTTCATCACACATTCCAAACAATACAAACGTACAAAGTTCTCTCATTACAACAATCAGAAAACCTATACATCACATCACAGCACAAACACTTCGACACTTGTGACACAGGATAACACAACATTAACACAACATATGGCACTCAGCACTGCCAAACACATTCTGATCCGACTTCAGCACTTATCCTGTGTATTTCGAGCTGCGCTTGCGTCCTTTTTTGCGGTGCTCGCTCGATCTCTTCTTGTTTTTCCTTGTTCTTTTTCGACGAGCCTTTTCCAATGACGGTATCTGAGGCAGCGTCTCAGCCATCGTTGTCACTTCCGACCCTGCTAACGGGTCATGACGTTCGACGGGTCCGGTCTGTTTATTTACCAGCTTGTTCATGTCTCTACATTTGGCCCGGCTGGCCAACTCCGTCTCCTTTGCACTGTCGGTCGGTTGAGGTCGTGTCGACGTAAGTCCAGTAGCCCGGCCCGTGAACTCGTTCAACACGATCATCTTATCATTCATAGTCCCTTGCACCGCGGCTTCACCTTGGGCTCGAGTGGGATCCGTCACGGGTTGCTCCTCCACTGTATCTCGCGGTCGTTGGGTTGGCGAGGGCTCTATCTTAAGGTCTTCTCCCAAACATTCCGGATCATTCGGTCCTCGCGCCCCGTCGATGTTTCCGATGACAAGGTCGTAAAGGGGGGTGGGTCGTCATACATAGCGCCATAACCTTCCCGCTGAAGTAGGGGGTTTCAACCTCAATCTCTGCTTCGGGAAGCATCCGAACTGTACGGTCAATTAAGCAAACCGGTTTCGTTTTGCCGGTTAACTCGCTTTCCCCTACCAAGTTTCTCCGCACGATAACAGTGGAGCTGCCGGTATCTCTTAACACCGTAATCTTTTTGCCCGCAACTTTTCCAGGCAGCGTTGGCATTCCTTTCGTAACACCGGTTGGCTGTTTTGACATTACAGCTCCCACAATAGGAATTTTCTCCCCATTCTTCAACTCTACGAATCCATCGGTGACGGCATTATTATCAGATTTCGGTGCCGCTTGCACACAAGATACCTGGTGAGTTTGACTCACTCCGTTCCGACAAGCGTCTGCTTTGTGCCCAGTCTGACCACACTTGAAACATTTTACTGCCGTAGGGCTCGTAAAGATCGTTCGACAGTTTTTCGCGCGATGACCCACTCGGTTGCACAGAAAACATCGCGGAATGCTCTCTGGTGCACGCTTCTTTTCTTCGGGAGCCAATTTCTTTGAATCATCGGGACAATCCTTCTTGACCTTGGCCAAATTAGTTCCACCTTGCGCTTCCAAGAATTGATCAGCCAATTCAAGCATTCCTTCAAGTGACTCAGCCTTCCTCTCTTTCAAGTACAGCAACAGGCTTGGGTGGCAACTAGTAAGAAATTGTTCTCTAATTAGGAGCTCTCTAAGTTCATCGTACTCCTGCGCTGTCCCTGAAAGTTCAATCCATCTGTCGAAATAATGGCAAAGTCGGGCGGTATACTGCGTAGCCGTCTCACCATCAGCTGGCTTTCCTGTCCTAAATCTGTCCCGGAATCCTTCTACGGTAAATCTAAACCGCTTCAGCAAAGCAGCTTTCACCTTTGCATAGTTGGCTGCATCGGTCGGCGTCAGCCTACCGTACACACTGAGCGCTTCACCACTCAAGCAAGTACTCAAAGCAGTTGCCCATTGATGTTCCGGCCAATTCTGGCTCTTCGCAATCGTCTCAAATCGGTGAAGGTACGCGTCAAGGTCGTCCTTCCTTTCATCAAACGCCACGAGCAACCTGCTTGGGTTCAAGCGGAAGCCATGATCTTCCCGTTCACTGCTTTCAACTCTAGGTTGGACGGGAGTTTCACTTCGCTGTTGCAACCGGAGCCGCTCGAGTTCCATCTCGTGCTGCCGCTGCCGTTCCCTTTCAGCCATCTCCGCTTCTCTTTCTTCTTTCAGCTGTCGCTCCCTCGCTTCTCTTTCTTCCTTCAGCTGTCGCTCCCTCGCTTCTCTTTCTTCTCTCGCCCTTTCGGCTGCCAACTTCTCTCTCTCCAACTCAGCTTCTTTTTCTGCTTTGGCTCTTTCGACCGCCAACCTCTCTCGTTCCAACTCAGCTGCTTTTTCTTCCTTGGCTCTCTCAGCTGCCAACCTTTATCTCTCCACCGCCTCTTTCTCCTTCTGGCTTACCCATTTCCGTAGTTCGGCGCCGGAAAGACCCATCTTCTCACCAAGCGCAACTAACTTTTCGAGATCCATTGTGTCTCGCAACTCGCAAATAAAACCTTGCCGCGTGCAAAAAGTATCTGCCTAAATCAGTCTATCGGAACACTCCCCAGCACTCGTTAACGAGAACACTGAACAACACACAAAATCGTTCCGATAGCACTATCAACAACTCGAGGCTCTTTCTCACTACTTTGGACACACTGTGCACCAAAAGGTCCTGTCGCGGACGCCAGATTAATTGTCACACAGGTCCCGTTAATTCGGGGAGGCAATCGCCGGACTAATTCCAAGGGTCGAAGTATCGGCCCCCCGAACCGCACCACGAAAGCGTGGACAATTTAGAAGTGGTCCTTTTTGGCGCGCCAGCGGACGCTGGCTGTGGTCCAAAGAACAAGTCAGAGCCGAGAGTTGATAAACAAACAAAATTATATTCTCATTAACGGCAGATCAAAAACAATACACAAGTATGCACACTCCACAATAGTTACATACAATACGTCACCAATCAAACAACGTACTACACAGTACAATCAGCCACACTCAAAACAACGGACATAGACAACGAACGATACGCTCTACAATGCAGACGCATGCATTCAACAACCAAGACACTTAAAGACTAAAGAGATAGAAACCTATCCAGTCCAAAGTTCTTGGAACAAAAGTCTGGATGATACTCTTCCGAGAATCACTCACTCAAAGTCCAGCGTTGTTGTCGTTCCGCAGTTCTCGAAGTTTCTCTTCCAGGAAACCACGCCGAAGTTTCTCTTCCAGGAAACCTCCCGTCTTCAATAGGCCACTCTCCAAGCTTCAAACTTCTTCACCCGAACACGTCGGCTTCACACACGCAGCTGTTGCCACGCGTCCTCGCTCGATAGCGGTAGACACACGCTCTTGCCTGTAGCTCGAGCCTTCACCCCTCAGGTGGAAATCCTCTTCATCTCCTGCTTCGTCCCAACGGACAAACCTTCGCCGACTACACGGCGGGATCCCTTCGCACTCTGGCGCAACTTCCGTCTTCTCCTGATCTCTCATCTCGGCTGCTCGGTTAAATACCTGGCGCGCGACATTCCAGACGGTTCTCGTCATTTCGCCGGCGCGATACGCAGCGAAGGCTGGGAAGAGGGCAAGACGGTTGGCACGCCCTCCGCGGCCGATGACTCAACTCGGTATGACCACGCCCCTTTTGTTCTGGAACTTTCGCGGGCTATCTCGGCCGCCGATGTGGGGCGAGGAGGTTCGTCGGCGAAGCCACGCTTCCGAGGGGAGAGCGCGCGCCCCGGGGAGCTTTTAGATGTTTGTTTTCTTTTTCTTTTGACCTCGCGGCGCCACTCCGTCGTTTCGTCGCGACAATTTGGCGGCGCGCCCATTTTTAGCGCTCGTTCTGTGGCAAAGTCTCAGTAACTAATCTCAGTAACCAAGTCTCAGTTACTAATCGAATGCTATGCCATTGCGAATGCGGGTGCTCACATGTGACCTTAATCACTTTTTTTATTTTGAATACGCAGATTTTTCAGTGTCATCGTGCACGAACTTGTGGACAATTCATGGCCTTCCGCGGCGCTCCCTGTAATGACCGAGCGCCATGTTGAAATCATCCAATGGCTTATAGAAGGCCTTCTACGAGTGATTTTTTTTAACATAGAGAAGAGAAAACAATTTCAGCTGACTTTGATCATTTATTGTGAATTCCAAGCTGCGTGCTGCACTATATAATTTGGCTCGCATGTTCTCAGGAGCCTCTCGTACTGATCGGCAGTGTTTTCTGACCTCAAAAAGTGTTGCAGGGCTCCTTTAAGGGCAAGTGTTTGTCTACTTACTACATACTTTTAAGGGCAAGTTCCTTCTGCATATAAAATGAACCACTGACACAATGACCACTTTTTGTGGGACTTTCAAGTTCATTATAAATGGGCTTGACTGTATTATGCTGTATGACATGGCATGTCTGGCATGTTCATACCATTGCAAAATTTGCACTAACTGTATCACAGAGTATAGCATGGTCTGAAACAAAGATTCTGTCACTCTCCTTTCTGTTTGTTTTCTTTTTTGTTCCACCACGAAAAGTGTGTTAGACCAGAAGGGTTCATAATAATAACACCTGAATTATTACGCCCCAAAATAACAACATGGTTAAGAGAGACGCAGGGGATTCTGGAAATTTCGATCATTTGGTGTTGTGCAACCTGCAGTATTTTGCTTCCATCGAAAGGCCAGAATCAAAGCCTTCAGGTCAGCAAAGAGCACTGTAACCACTGCACCATTATGGTGGAGCTCCCTTGTAGGAAAACGACTTGATCCATTCCAATTTTTCATCAGCTTGCTTTTCATCAGAAGCTCATAGAATTTCCCGAATGTTTTGAATGCAAGCTGAAAGATCTTTGCCTGTTGAACATTGCTCCTCTTCGGCTTTGAGCACCTGTTCAGAATTTTTGCCTTATTACGACAGTTGGCAAACAGTGAAATTACTGGTTTCAGATCAAAGCTGGTCCACTGAGAGAAGGTTTGGCAGCACAGGCAAACTGATCAATACAAGACTCACCGATCGAGAGTGTACTGTCGTGCGGTCTCGAGGCAGAACTCGGCTGCACCCAGGGCGCCCCATGAGATGCCATATCGGGCACTTGTCAGGCACTGGAATGTTGACTGCACACAAAGCACGCGAGCCTAAACCATGTGCACGCTCCACGGCATGCTCAATGAGGAACGCATCAAAGCAGAATGGCATAATAAGAAGTTAAGCGAGTTCGTATTGGTTCATGATGAAAGGGAATGAAAGGTGGGCTACTCAGTAAATCATATTCATTCAGTGAACAGGAATCATACAACAGACGAAAAAAGAACCACACAACATGAGTGGGGACGATGTGCTACTAGTAACTGACTTCCTTATTTAGGAAAAACAAATCTTTAAAATGCAGACCAGATAAACCGAATGGGCCAAGATCAGAAGAAAAACAAAAAAATGCCAGTGCTCATCAAGCTCCTGTGTGCATTTTTGTGCGTGTCTACTTCACACTATTTTTTTAACTATGAATACATACAAAACAACTTGCATTTACTCTCTTTTAACTAAGCTTGTGCAAATAGAGAACCCTAGGTTTGAAGAGAATAGTGACTTTGGTCGAATAATTACAAATCAAATTTGAATAGTACTATGTATCCCATATTATAAAAAAAGGCATATTTATAACGACTCTATTAACCTGCACGTTATTTTTTTATTTGAAATGAGGCCTCTGAAAATGCCATCTGTTTTGGTTCAAGGGAAGTGGAAACAAGCTTGAATACTGTAAATGCTGAGCAAGCACCCCCACTCCTCAAGCAAGCGGCCCCTCTATTTTTGGGGGGATATTTGAAATAAGCGCCAAGTAAATGCCAATGACCGATTCAGGACTGAGCAAGCATCCCCCTCCCCAATCTGGTTGGACTATTCTTCACCGATGTGTGTGTGTGTATTTTTAGAGTAGTAGCAGGATTTGAATTTAGGTACAATACAAATGGCAACTTGTAAAATACTCCAAATTTTAACATGTACTGTACGTGGAGCTCACAAGCTGGTATAGCCAGCATATTAAACACGATGGATCAACGAGAAGGTAAGTTGTCCAGCAAGATGGCAAGTTGGGCCAGTTGGATTATGTTTATAATTGAAAACTTTGTTGAGGCACACTAAAAAACAGCAAGCGCTGTCCTTGTCAGCCTCTTCTGTACGTCTGTTTTTAGTGCGCTCTAACAAAAATTTCAAGTAGGTTGTCCATTTTACTTTGAAACAAGGCTTCGCGGCAATGCTGATTTCCCCTGAATCGGCGCTTACATGGTTTAGCACCCCTTCACTGCAGTGAAACCATTTTGCAAGCTAATAAACTTTATAATTTGCAAGTCTGCTTCTCTGTGCTGCACATTTGCCCAAGTAATGGCAGCACCTGCAGTGAGGACACGGTCCTATTTCAACGTGCTGAGGCTTGTCTACTATGCATGTTTACATCTAGACTCTACATTTTTTTACGTCACAGGATAAGCAATCCACGCTTGAACAGGCTGTTTGCAATAAGTGACTAGCTGCCATTAGTTGTTCATACTGCATAGGAGGAAAGCTAGCTTTACATTGTTGAAAAGGGCCTGTTAAGTGCTCGAAGAAGCAGTGCACGAAAGGGCACCAAATGCACATGTAAAGAAGCAAACACAAGTGTGTTTTTATGTGTTGTGCACTGCTTCTTTGAAAATCATGGCTCACCAATTAGCCCATCAGTAATCGTTAATATTAGGGATACACAAACATACAGAATTTCAAATATTCTTCTAATAGTATTTCCTGTTTGGTTTGATTCACACTGTAATTTTTACTATTTGAACTTCCCTAAAAACAATTACAGCAAATGTCCTATTAAAAGTAGGAGTCTTGGAATTGTTAGAGAGCATTTCTGTGAGTATTGTAAGCGTAACAGAGCCCAGACTATCTCTGGAGATACTATTCTAACTTGATCATGTCTTGTATAAAACCCTTCATACCAAAGCGTCTTGAGAAAACCGGTAATAGAAGCCCTTTAATAACAAGAAAAATAATACACCTGAAAATATAATTACAAGACAAACTTCAGAATTATGAAAATATTCCTAGCTTGCAGAATCAGCCATTCGATGTCTTGGTAAGGATTTAATGTACTTGCAAAGGAATCAATTCAAAGGTTCTTTGGAATCACAGTCCTGAAATTCAAGAGATGCCCGGATAAGTATTGAAGATAGGTTAATCCATCAATGAAAGCTCGCTATTGACTCAGTCTACAGGGGGATTTAATGAGTACTGTACAGGAGTGGGCGTGTGAAGAGCACTACGATGCAGTTCACTAATCCATTCTGCTTTGTCGTCCAGGTTACGGCATGGATTCATTTCACCGCCGTACCGATATCTCCAGTGATAAGCGACACCAGCGGGCTGTCCAGCCATCTCAACGATATGAAAGTATCAGCCTGCCCGTGCGACAGCGACGTGTCTACGGTCATCCCTCTACCAAACGAAGGAATCGGATCGACGACAACATCATCGACGGCTGCCTATATGAAGAGGTGGCGGAATCCCGGCGCCTTTAGTGGGCGTGTGAACAGCACTACGATGCAGTTCACTAATCCATTCTGCTTTGTCGTTCAGGTTAGTTCGGTTACATCTCTGTATGCTAAAAAGTCGAATAACGTTTGTTTGTTGCTGTTCCCACGCCCGGGAGTTTTGTTTTCTGTTTTTCATGAGTGCTTTGACGTTGTAACTTAATTGCTTATGTTGTCCGGTGATGGTGAGCTCAATCCCGAACCTAACACTAGAGCCCAAGTGCGAAGTCCTCTTACTGATTCACAGACTAAGAAGCTTAATGATATGTTCATGATGTTACAAGCTGCAAACACGCGTACCGAAAAAATGGAGAGGGACCAGACAGATCTAATCAAATCTGTTGATGAGCTTAAAAAAACACAGGCGAGCTTTCAAGAAAACCTTACTGTTTTAGATAAACGATTAACTGAAGTAGAGCGCAAAACGGTCGCGATTGAGGAAGTCCAAGAAGAGATACAGCGTTTTCGCCAATCGATTAGCCATATTAGCAGCGAAAATGATCAACTGCGTGCCCGGCAAGGTGAGCTCAAGGATATGGAGCGGCGAGACAACCTCTTATTCTATGGGCTGCCTGATGCCCAGTCAGAGTCCTGGGCCCAGACAGAAGAAAAGCTGATGAATGTGTTTTCATCCAGATTAGAAATAGCACCCTCTGAAATACTAATCAAACGAGCACACAGGCTTGGCGGTTATCATCCCAATAAGTGCCGGCCAATCATTGCCAAATTTTCTTCCTTCAAGCTCAAGCAGCAAATACTTCTGAGTAGTTCGAAGCTGAAGGAAGTAAATGTTGCCGTTAGTGAAGACTATTCGCCAGCTACTCGCCTTGCCAGAAAGAAACTGGATGAATTTGGCAAAACTCAATCCTCAAGATTTAAGCTTTGCTTTAACAAACTGTACGTAAATAGAAAGTGCTACATCTACAACCCCTCTGATGATTGCATGCATGAAATCTCCGAATCCTTTAAGTCATCAGTCAAAACTTCACATCTCTTGCATGAGTCGCCGCATGCATCTGTGCACAACATCGAATAGCGCTACGCGAGGGGAAGTGGATCAAAGCTACCAGTCGCAAATCAACTTCCGTTTCTTTTCACAAATATTCGAAGCCTAATTCCAAAACGTGACGATTTCTGCTCTGTTATCGATGCTTCTAAGGCCGACATAATCTGCCTTACTGAAACCTGGTTGTCTGCGCAGGTTGACAACAGTGAATTATTTGATTGCAAAAAACACTACAACATTTACCGTTGTGACAGAGGTGTTCGGTGTGGAGCCGATGTGCTTATCGCGGTTTCAGATACGATTTCGTCTTTTTCAATTCATTTTAGTAGTGCTTTGGAACTTGTTTTGGTTGAAATACAAACGTGTTCCAAGAAGTTGATATTGGGCGCTTGTTATCGACCACCATCCTGTTCATCCACTTTTGTTGACGAGCTTCATGATGTCATTTCCACGCTAACAGTACGGTATCCGAATAGTCCGCTCATTTTACTAGGCGACTTCAATTTCCCGAATATAGTTTGGTCAAACGTGCATTCCACTTGTCATCCTTTGTCCGGAGCGGGAGACGCATTTTTGAATTTGTGCAACGATTTTAACTTGTCCCAGCTAATAACACTGGCAACAAGAATTACGTCTACCCCATCTAACATCTTAGATTTAGTGCTCACCACTGCGCCTGATCTTTTCCATTCCATATCCTACTTGCAGGGGCTAAGCGACCACTTGCTGCTTCATTTTTCTTTCACCTGCACAGTACCTCACAGTAGGAACCACAAAAAATATATCTGGGACTATAAGCGCGCAGATTTTGATGCTATTAATCATGATCTTTCAGCTTTTTTAATTGATTACATGCACAACTTTTATGATCGCTCTGTTGATACTAACTGAACTTTATTCAAAGAAAAGGTTCTATCACTCATAGAAAAATATGTGCCACGCATAGTCATCACATCTAACCTGCAATCACCATGGTTCATTCAATCGCTTAAACGACTACGCAATAAGAAAATACGCATTTTCAGCTCTGCAAAGGTAACTGGCACTCAAGAATGTTGGAGTGATTATCAGGCCGTAACTACGGAATACAAACATGCTCTAAAAGATGCTAAGGATTCATTTTTCAATACTACATTACCATCTCTTTTAATTACCAACCCTAAGCAATTTTGGAATGTAGTGAACAAAAGAGACAATTCCTCAATCACCCTTAAAGATGCAAACAATCGCATAATCAAACTTGATGAATCCGCAAATGTTCTAAACTCTGTATTTGTTTCTGCTTTTTCCCAAAATGTGTGTTCCGTGACTCCCACATATGCTAGTTCGAATTTCTCAACAATGGACCCCATTGTCTTTGATGCTGCCGGTATAGAAAAAATCATAAAAAATCTAAAAGTTTCATCATCATCTGGTGTTGATGGCATCAATTCAAAGTTTTTAATTAGTACTAAAGTGTACAGTGCCATCATTCTCCCTAATATGATTCAGCAATCGCTTCATACCGGTTGCATTCCGGAAGACTGGAAGGTAGGGA